TTAGGGTTCAGGGCTTGGGGTTTAGGGTTTAGGATTCAGGGTTTAGGGTTTAGGATTCAGGGTTTAGGGTTTAGGATTTAGGGGTTTCAGGGTTTAGGGTTTAGGATTTAGGATTTAGGTTTTAGGGTTTAGGATTAAGAGTTTAGGCTTTCCCGTTTAGGGTTTAGGGTTTAGCCCATACGTCCAGTCGAGATACGCAGCAAATTCTAACCTCATCGTCCCCAAACCCAAGCCAAAATGACCCGTCACTCCAAGCCCTGAAACCCAAATCCTACCTTAACTGGGCTTTGGAGTACCATACTTTAATACTTTTGTTAGGGGACCTGTTCCTTAAAGGAGCCATTATTATAAAATAAAAGTCTATACTCTTTTCCCCCTGGTTACTTCAAAGCCCAGTTAACCCCCAAACCTAAGTCCTTGCTGGCTACAAGTTTGCATGGTCTATTTAAGAAAAACCCAATAAGGGTTAAAGAATGATCATTTTTTAATATAGCCCCAACAGTGTACCAGATACATGCCTACCTTTTGTAAGGACTTGGATAAAGAAATCGTCATAAGGAACCCCAAGAAGCTGGGTTCTTTAGGGTCCAGGTAGACCCCAAATCCTGCATATTCGTAGTTCTCCAAAACAGGGTCCCTTGTAGGGTCCTTTTTCTAAGGGTGCCGTACTATATTGGGACCTAAAAAGGGACCCTAATTTAGAAAACTACCCATACATCCTCTCGAAGACCCAAAGTAAACCCTAAACCCTAAACCCTAAACCCCTAAACCCCTAAACCCCTAAACCCCTAAACCCTGAACCCTATGTTTACAGGATTTATGGCCCAAAGTGCCCAAACTATCCCAAGCTTTTTCAGTTCGGGGGCCGAAGGGGTTTGCAGGATTTAGATGCTTCTTGTGCGCGGGCGCGTGTTTGCGGTTTAGGGTTTAGGGTTTAGGGTTTAGGGTTTAGGGTTTAGGATTTAGGGTTTAGGGTTTAGGGTTTAGGGATGTTTGTGCTTGCAGTTTCGGGGATTGGCTGTCGTACTAGTCTTGTCTTGCAGAGGTGGTTTAGATGGTCTTAGTTCCCCAATACCCAACCTTTAAAGTTTTTGGGTTCTTGTACTTTAGTAGGAATCGGAAAGTTTACCTTTTATTTCCCTGGTTTGTTGGGAAAGTAGGTGGTTTAGGGCGTGCAGGGTCCTGGGTTTACAAGATAAAGACATTGCAATGTTGTGTTTAGGATTCAAGGCTCTGGGCTTCTACAGTTATTTAGGGGTTAACATTGAGCCTTGTAGCCATAAGCCCCTACCCTCAGCACCAATGATGAACTGAGCTTCAGACTTGCGATTCTTGAGGGGACTAGGGCCCACGGTAAGAAACTGGATACCAATGATGAACTGAGCTTGCGACTTGCAGGTCTTGAGGTTCAGGGTTTAGGGTTTAGGGGACTATTGTAAGAAACTGGATGAACAGAAAGACCATCCCTGAGGAGCCGAGCGAACTTGTTGGCCGCCAAGCCCGTCTGGCACTCCAGGATCGGCGCGCGGTGCACGTGGCCAAAGCACCTTGTTCAAAGCTGCTTTTTGTTTGTTTGTTCTAACGCTTAGTCTTGTGGGAGTTCGTTCATCTGCTCTCAAGAGGGTTCTATCCGGTATGTGCGGGGTTTTGTGCGATGGTCCGCTTATCATCATGTTTTTTGACACGGGTCATGACCCTAAACCCTAAACCCTAAACCGTGGACTGATGCAGAACAAAAGCACCGAGACCACAGCAACTCCCCGGGCTGAAGCCCAATAATCTACAAGTTAGGGTTTAGGGTTTAGGGTTTTGGGGTTTAGGGTTTTGGGTTTAGGGTTTAGGGTTTAGGCTTAAGGGGTTAGGGCAGTATACACGGATGCCCCGTAAATCTTATTCTGTTCCGGGATGGCCTTAAACTCTACACACCTAGCTTCTGTTGAGGTCAGAAGAGGTCTGTCGCAATTTATTTTCCGAGAAGCTGTGCGTACTGACCCATAACACCAAATGCTGCACCCTATAGGGCAATATGCATCAGTGTATATATGTATATACACATGCACACAGACACACACACACACACATACATGTTATGCTACGTATGTATGCATGCGTGCATGCAAAAATATCTGTGTGTGTTTATGTTTTGAATATATATATATATATATGTATGAACCAACGTTGAAGATGGACAGCAGCCCGCATTGCCGTGAGTTCCGGACTGTGTGGTTTATCATAACTATGCAGAACTGTGGTTGAAGACCGGTCTTGACAAATCAAGGAAACACTAGATAAACGGGGCTGAAACAGCAAACTCCTGATCCTAAATTTTAAAAACCTATAGACCTATAGGTGCCTTTTAAATTTGACCCGAGACCCTGCACCGCGAGCCTGAATCATGCTTGATGTAAGGTGCTGCAACTGCGCGATGGAGACACTCTGCGAGGCCCGTGGGAACCGACAAGCAGGGGAGTCGTCGTCGGCAATTGGGGAAGATGTAGGTGAACCAGGAGCAGCCTTTAAAAAAAAGCGCCGTGTCAACCCCGCAACCTTGGACAAAGTCCCTCGTAACCCTAAATCCGAAATCCTATAGATCCTAAACCCTAAACCCTTTAAGCCTTGTCTGCAGTCTGTTTCCTTTCAAGTCCAGAGGCCGTATCCAAGCTTCTGGTTCCTTGGGTTTCAAAACTGCATGCAGCCCCCTTGAGCACCCACAACCCTTTTCCAAAGCCGACTAACCCCACAGCCACTTTATCTTAGGAGCCCAATAGGTAAACTTTCAACTTTTTTGGGCCAGGGTACTGGGCAGCTAAGTTATAAGACGCCTTATGACTTCAGTACAAAGCCATAAACAACCCCCGCAATAAACCCCTCATGAAGCCGCAGAATCCTTTTACGTCTACAATGCCTGAACACAGCCTTGTTAATCTCAGATTCACGAGCGCGGAAAACGTCCCGTGACAGAGTCTAAGCGTTCTTTAACTCCTCACTGATTTCAAAGCACGTGAAGTGTACTTTTGCTACCACTCCAGTTTGACTCGCACCTTAGCTGATAATCTCGTGGTCTTACTCCAGAAGATGGTATAGGACACATTCACAGGGGTAACGCTGTTGTAACCCCTCAGGGGCCCGAAAGACATGGTGACAACCCTCAGAACCATTATCTCTTGTAATGGACCCCAAAACCCTTATCTAGGAGGCCCGCAGTATCATAGGTGGACATCAGAACCCTAGGACCCCGCAAACCTGTTACTAGTATTGTTAGTATTACTATTATTATTACAAGGAGCCTCCAAAATCGTATTTGTAATTATCTAGGCCCCTGCATGATCAACTCGCAGTATACTGGATGCCCTAAACCCGAAACGCCACAGTTGGTATTCTCGGCGGCGGCGCCGATAACAATGCCACAATCCGATGGATATGGCCGGTCCCGTTCTCGGCTGGCTTACTACAGTAATCCTAGCTCTCCAATAGCCAACCTTTCAAAACTTCTTGGGCTCTTCTAGTTTGGTAGTGATCTGAAAGCCCTAAACCCTAAACCCTTAAACCCTAAACCCTAAACCCCTAACCTCTAAACCCCTAAATCCCCTAAACCCCTAAACCCCTAAGCCCCTAAACCGCTAAGCCCCTAAACCCCAAAACCCCTACACCCCTGAACCCTAAACCCCTAAACCCAAAACCCCAAAGCCTCTAAACCCCGAAAAACCCTCGAAGAGCTCCCCAGAGAACCCAATACACCTTAATTAAGGAATATGCCTTGAATTATAGAGGCCTTAATATTATGATTTAAGCCTAAACCCTAAACCCTTCACCCTAATACACCCTAAACCCTCGAAGAGCTCCCCCTAAGGCGGGAAACCCTATAGATCCCCTTAAAGGAACCCTTTAAAGGGGCCTAAACTCAACCCTAACTTAAGCCTTATCATAATATCAAGGTCCCTATACTTTAAGGCACATTCCTTATTTAAGGGGTATTGGGCTCTAAACCCTAAGCCCTACACCCTAAACCCTCAACCCTAAGCCCTAAACCCTAAACCCTAAACCCTAAACCCTATAGATCCCTTAAAGGAACCCTTTAAAGGACCCTAAACTTAAGCCCTTCCACCAAGGCGGGTTCCGAGGGCACCTGGCGATCCGACTCCGGAAAGCCCCGGCCGCCGCGCCTGGAGATCGAGGCGCTTCTTTAGGGTTTAGGGTTTAGGGTTTAGGGATTCCTTTAAAGGATTCAGGATTTAGGGGTTAGTGTTTAGGGGTGTAAGGGTTTAGGGGGCTACTTTAGGGCTCCTTGAAGGGGATCTATGGGATTTAGGGGTTTATTAGCGGATTTAAGGGTTTAGGGGTTTAAAGGTTTAGGCTTTAGGGCTTAAGGGGTCTAGGGTTTAAAGTTTAGAGTTTGGGGTTTAGGGGGTCTAGGGTCTAATTAGGGTTTATGGTTTAGGGTTTAGGGTTTATTAAGGTTTAGGGTTTAGGAGGGTTCAGGGTTAAGGGTTTAGGGTTAAGGGTTTAGGGGTTTGGGTTTAGGGTTTAGGGTTTAGCGTTTTAGGGTTTAGGGTTTTGGGTTTTGGGTTTATTAAGGGTTTATTAAGGTTTAGAGTTTAGGGTATTAGGGTTTAGGTGTTTAGGGTTTGGAGCTTTAGGGGTTTAGGGTTCTAGGGTTTAGGGATCGAGGCGCCGAGATTTAGCCTTTGGCCTCGAGCTACTTTCGGTCTCCTTAAAGGGGATCTATCGGGTTTATGGTTTTAGGTTTTAGGGTCAGGGTTTTAGGGTTTAGGGGTTTGGGTTTAGGGTTTAGGGTTTAGGGTTTAGGGTTTAGGGTTTAGGGTTTAGGGGTTTAGGGGTTTAGGGGCTTTGGGTTTAGGGTTTACGGGTCAGGGTTTAGGTTGTGGGTTTACTAGGGTTCAGGGATTCTCTCCTTCGTTCTCTCTGATGCGTCTTTTTTGGTGTTGCAATATGGGCTTTCAATTTGTTTAAGGGTTTTTCGTGGGTTTGACTGGTTTTAAGGGTTTCTGCCGGTTTCTGCTAATAGATCTACAGGTTTTGGAGCTCTTTGCCCGCTCAATGGTGTTTGCCTCCATTTTGTGGTTCCAGCGGTCTTTCCGGGATTTGGACACGCTGTAGAATCTTTGCAGAGGCCTAAATTTCAAGGGCGTTTCAGTCGTTTAGTTTAGTGGTCTGTAACCCTAAACCCTAAATCCTAAACCCTAAACCCTAAACCCTAAACCCTAAACCCTAAACCCTAAACCCTAAACCCTAAACCCTAACCCGTAAGAAGGTGTTCCAGGATATGACCTAGGCTGCAGAAGGGCTCTAGGGACGTTTACAGGGTTTGGGGGTTCAAGGCTCCGGTGTTCTTCGAGTTTTGGGTGTTTTGAGGCTTCAGGGTTTAAGGGGTCTAGGGTCTAGGGTTTAGGGTTTAGGGTTTATTAGGGTTTAGGGTTTAGGAGGGTTCAGGGTTAAGGGTCTTTTCGAGCTTGGATCTATGACATTTTCGGGTGAGTAGTTACCGTTATAGGAGCCTTATAGAAGGTCTATATGTCTTATAGCAGCCTTCTAGAAGAGCTATATACCCTAAACTCCCCACCTGTAGTTTCCTTGAACTTGGAAGGGCTCATAAGCCTTTCAGGGCGTTCGGTGCTTTTCGGGGGTGTAGAAGAAGGGGCTCGTAAAGGTTTTTGTTTGTGTTTACAGGCTCGGTTTAAGGTATTAGCGTTTATGGTCTGGGGTATTCTTCTGGCTGCAGGTAGCCAAATAGGTGTGGTGTAAGTTGGGTATTAACCCCAATCTGCAACAGTTAGGTTAGATAAATATATCTACAATACAATGTAGGGGCCTAAATAATTACCAATACTATGTTGGGGGCTCCTTGTCATAATTTTAGTATAATGGGCCCCCAAAACCCTATTCTAATTACTTTTCGGTTGTTTCGAGGCAGCAAAAGACGGGAAATCATTAAGGTACCTTTGGTATGACTTGTGGCATATGCACTAGGAGGCATTGGAGTCCCTGAACATATGGCTGCTATGATTTTTAGGGGGTATGCATCCATACTGTTGCTGTAGTAGAGATGCTTTGCACCCCTTGAAGACGCACCGTTTGAAACAGCACTTTGTCGCAAGTAGGACCCTGAGAAGGGGATTAACCCTGAACCCTAAACCCCTAAACCCTGAACACCTAAACCCTAGACCCTAAACCCCTAAAGCTCTAAACCCTAAACCCTAAACCCCTAAACTGTGGTCTAGTACAGCACAACTCTCCATGTGTCGAAGTGCTGAGTTGTCCCGAATCCACAAACTTTGAGTATGTCTTTTACCGCCATACCCAGAGAACCCAATACACCTTAATTAAGGAATATACCTTAAACTATAGGGGCCCTAATTAAGGAATATACCTTAAACTATAGGGGCCTTAATTAAGGAATATACCTTGAATCATAGGGGCCTTAGTATTATGAAAAAAGCTATATTCCTCAATTAAGGGGTGTGTAGGTTTGTTGGGTTCGGGGTTTAGGGCTTCAGGGTTTAGGGGTTCAGGGTTTAAGGGTTAAACCCTAAACCCTGAGCCCAAAACTCTACAGGGGGGCTGAGACGCTTGATGATGTGGTTTGCTGTATGGCTGTAAAGGACCCAGAGAACCCAATACCCCTTAATTAAGGAACATACCTTAAATCATAATAGTAAGGCCCCTATGATCTAACGTATATTCCTTAATTTCAGGTACATGCCTTAATTAAGGTGTATTGGGTATGGTGGTAAAGGACATACTCAAAGTTTGTGGATTCGGGACAACTCAGCACTTCGACACTTGGAGAGTTGTGCTGTACTAGACCACACTTTAGGGGTTTGGGGTTTAGGGTTTAGGGTTTAGAGTTTTAGGGTTCAGGGTTTTAAGGGCTTAGGGTTGAGACGCTGAGTGATGTTGTTTGCTGTATGGGGGTAAAGAGAACCCAATACCAGGGTTCGGGGCTCACGCGGCGAGTATGCACTTTGACCCTGAGCATATCACAAAGGAATCCCGGTAAGGTCTATGTAACATAGGCGCCTCAGTAATTACCGATACTATGTTGGGGGGTTACTTACAATAGCTATAGTATAATGGGCCCCAAAGCCCTATTCTAATTATTAAGGCCCCTACACTACGCACGCAATACATGAACTATAAGAACTCTGTGATTGTAAACTCCATGAAAACCCAATGCATTGCAGAACTCGTATCAACACCCTAAACCCTAAACCCTAAACCCTAAACCCTAAACCCTAAACCCTAAACCCAACCCCTTTTGAATGTCGGTAGCCTGAGGACATGCTCAATGCCTTGGAAGACCAGGTGGGTTTCGGGTACGGCGTTTAGGGCTCTTTGGAACATATGTGATATACCGCAGTTACTGCAGCATTTAACAGCTCGCTCTGCTAGATGTGTTTTAGTCCGCGTAGCTCATTGCAGTTGAACGTTTTTGTGAGTTCTTGGCGGATACGGGGGAGTCGACTACTGATATTGGGGAGCCGCAACTATTCCGACAGGCATTGTATGCTGTAGGTGTCAGCTTCCTTTTGGTTGTGTCCACACCCTAAGACCCCTACACCCTAAACCTTAGTTCCCCAATACCCAACCTTTAAACTTTTTCAATTTACTAGGAAGCTGAAAGTTTAATCTTTTTATTTCCCTGGCTTATTGGGGAAGTAAGACACCAAAACCCGACCAAGACTTGTATACCTCATTCCGAAGACCCCCAAACCCTTAACCCTTAACCCTGAACCCTCAACCCTCAACCCTAAAGCCTAGGCCCTAAAAGGCAAGGAGGTTGACAAGGATGTTTCCGAAATCAACTGCTGTGATCACTAGGTTCTTGGACGGCTGATGCCCTCACACACTTTCACTACGGTGGTAGTCCAGGAGGGTGTCATGGCGTCTCTTCATAGAGACTCACACAACGCACCAGGCTCCAGGAATCTACTCGAAAGCCTCACACCGTGCACAGGACCACTACTGTGGATCGAAGATCCATGTGGTGACTGTCATTGCCCAGTCAGAGATGCGAGCTCACAAGGCTTCATGTTGACGAGCCCAGCACGCTTTGATTTGAGGCGCTGGCACATGTCCGTCGACACAGGTGTCGCCAGGTTTACAGCGGTTGCATTCTCGATCCGTGACTTTACTAATCTGAGTCCTTAGGACAGCCAACTGTTGCGCACACTAGGCTTCAAACTCCAGTAGCCGTAGGCGGATGTACATATGAGCATCTGTACAGGCTGAGTGAGTCTTTAGACATGTCCTAAAGGGGGCAGCTAAGAAAACACCCACCCCGGGCATGTTTGCAGAAGGGCACGAAACCCGAAATCCTGTACCCTAAACCCTCAACCCTCAACCCTAAAGCCTAAACCCTAAAAGGCCGAATGTACGTTAGGAACCACCTGCCTGTCGGGCTGAGGATCAATAGGTACCGGGAGGCTGGGTGGGATGTATGAGGTGGGATGTTCCGTGAGGGCACGTTGCAGAAGTCGGATTTAAGCTAGAAGTTGATTACACATTGGCACTCAGCTTTCAGACATAACACAGTAATCATCGCAAGAGGGAACAAGAACAGGAAATTAGACGGAAGGCACACAGCAAGCCGGGATGCTCGACGCTTTGCATTAACCCAAGGCTCTAAACCCCAATCCCTAAGCCTTAAGCTCTGCACCTTACACCCGTCTGCCCGAGATGCTAAGCCCTGCTATTCAAGTCCTAAACCCCAAATCCCCCCAAACCCGAAACCCTAAGCCCTAAACCCCAAACCCTAAACCCTGAACCCCAAACCCTGAACCCCAAACCCGAAACCCTAAACCCTAAACCCCAAACCCTAAACCCTAAACCCTAAACCCTAAACCCTAAACCCTAAACCCCCAACCCTAAACCCTAAACCTCGAAACTTCCGAAACGCTGTAG